ATCCTGTGAATGCAAATTTAACCAAGTAGGCAGTTGAGGCAGTATCTTGGGATCACTAGACACATTTTCAACACCCTAGGTGCTAAAAGAGCATATTATATTTTCTGTGATCCATTTTTTTCCAGTGGCGTGGCGTATTAACTTTACATCCTGTGAATGCAAATTTAACTGTGTAGGCAGTTAAGGCAGCATCTTGGGATCACCAGACATATTTTTAACATCCTAGGTGCTAAAACAGCATATTGTTTTTTCTCTTATCCGTTTTTTGCAGTGGCGTGGCGTGTTCTGCGATGTATCATCGCAAAGCACGCGTTGTCATTTAAACCAATGGAAAAGAATCGATAAATAAAGTGTTCGCAAAAAAACTTAATAATCGGTTCTTTAAAAATTCAAATGGGGGAAATATCTATAGTCGATCATTCACGCTTCTCCACTGATTCGACACTGATTCGTTCTGATTAATTCCGCGACTAAAACTTGCATTTTGGGTTTCAGATGGACAACGCAGGTTACGAGAAAGGGAACGACCAAGGTTGGACGACAGTTGAACTGACGGAAGTGAGGACGCAAGCGCACTGCCACAAGGCGGTTGCCCCCGAGGCGGACTACCCCTTGCAGAGTGAGGCCAACGGCAACGGGGCCAACCCCCCTTGCGTCAGCAAACAGTGCACCCCCATGAGGCCCAGCCCCTGGCATCCCCTCAAGACAATTTTCCTCGTTGTTCTCCTGGCTCTCTTCCTAGTTTGGGTTATTGTCTCGTATTTCCTTCACAGGAATTATGAACTTTGAAACTCCTCCTTCCTTGCAGATGTTCATCATAATGCTGACTTGTCGTGGAAGAACGTCGTATATGTGTCGCAGGCAATTAGCAGTCGCAGGCAATTTGCAAGCGGTTCACATGTTGTCTCATTAAATCGCAATAATGCGCATCGGCATAGTGCAAATTTTGAGGGTTATGGTCTTCAAAAGTATGAGCTCGGCTTGAAGCGCCTTCATTTTTTGTGATACTCTACGCTTTGTCATGTTACTTTAGTTGTCCGTCCGATCTCAACCCAACTAATGTCACGGAGTTCACTATACGCGCTCTTCTGAGAGTGCATATTCCTGCCATGTTTTTGAGGATGGAAAAGTGTCTATTCACATTATAGGCAACATAATCAGCACTCTAATCTTGTTCTTTTACTTTTGAATTTTTCAACTCTCTATATTTATTCACCACTGGCTTGTAAATTGCCGACGATTGCCAATTGCCTGCGGCACATGTCGACGGTGAAAGTCGGCAATCACATAACTCGGTTTGCGACGTCGCAGACTTCCTGTCATACTTTATTTTTTAAATGGAAAACTACTCAACGGCAATTCTTTAAAACTGTNCGCGAAGGTTCTGGCTCTTCGTACAAATTGACTAGCAGGTCCTCTTTTTCACCTGTAAAATCGTTCCAAAATGGAGTAAAGTCGTCTATACTCGCTGTTCCCGCAGGAGTTGAAGTATAATTTGGGAACTCCTTTGTGTCGTCACTCTGAATTGGTGGTTCGTAATAATGCTCTGAATTTTCTCCACAATTATCTAAAGTTTCCTGATTTTCGAATTTCTTACGCTCTAGTTCCGCTAGGATCTTTCGATTATCTTCCACCCGCAAATCGTTATTGTAACTGTGACCTCTTTTTGCTAGTTCTAATCTTAAAGCTGCAGAATTTGCGCTGTAAATATTTTTTATTCTACCCTTTTCGTCGAAGTCCCACTCTGTAGGGGTCTCTTTCTCGTTATGATGTTTTTCGCGAAATATCACTAGTGCATCGATATCTATTTGATCTAATTGCTTGGCATACTCCCTGATTTGTATTATCGAATAATTTTTCCCTTTTTTGAAAACGGAGGGGAACTTGACTCTTAGGGTTTTCAGCACGTTTTCTGCTTTTACCTTTATAGTTCCCTCTGTAGTTGTGGAGAAGTTAATGAACATGAGCGACACTCAATAACACACAAAAATAAAATAAGCAAATGAGGAGAAGGAAGGGAAAAAAGTACAAGAAAAAAAAAGGGAAAAAAAAATATTTACTCACCTCATGTCCTCGAGTTGTTGGGGTTGAGGAACGACTAAAAGACTTCACTTGAATATACTTATACACCGAAATACACTTAAACTAACTTCTACCGGGCTTACGAAAAACTTTTTATTCACTTAAACTAACTCCTGCCGGGCTTATGAAAAACTTTCCAACACTTAAATTAACTTCTGCCGGGCTTATGGAAAACATACACTTAAACTAACTCCTGCCGGGCTTATGAAAAACTTTCCAACACTTAAATTAACTTCTGCCGGGCTTATGGAAAACATACACTTAAACTAACTTCTGCCGGGTTTACGAAAAACTGAAGAAAAAAAAAAAATGACTCAAAGGAGTAGGGCTCGCGGTACCGGATCGTTTAATTTAAAAGACTTGCTTTTTACCCGGCGCATCTGCCATGTAAGGGCGCATCGGATGAGGAAATAGCCTAACTCGCGATGAGACTAGAAAGCACTAAGGTGGCGATCACCGGCAAGTACGCATGTATGCAACACTGACCACTCGCTGGCCGCTTGGCCGCCGCTATATAGTAATGCCCAAAAGATGTAACCCTGGCGCGGCACGCGCCAACCGAAGCACCTATCTGCGATCACCTCGGAAATACGCGATCTCTCACGTATGTCCGAGGTGCTCCTAACAGAGGCGTACTCTCAAGGTAGAGTACGTCTCTGCTACACGCCCCCTCCCTAAGAAAAAAAAAGAAAAAAAAAAAAACTAAACGGTAGGCGGTGCACTGAACCCCAAAATTTCGAAGATACGTCACCCCATGCATACTTCTCGGTGGTCAGAACCCTTGCATTACTGTATTCAGATACTTAAAAGTAGGATACAAAATTTCAATAGTCCCCCCCATAATATTGATATTTACATTTTCCCCAAACTAATAACTAATTTACAAAAAAAAACTGATGCATCCGCTCCCCCTGAGTGAACTGCCGAACGCGAGCAGCCGCCAACTGTCGGTTGTCCGAGCGCCTTGCCGTTACTCCAGAATCGCCATCCGTCCAGTCCCTTGTGCGTGGTTTGCCATGAAACGTTTCGAATTTACATGATGTTATTTCTTCAAATGCCACAGTGTCGGTGTGCTAAAGTAAAGTGGGCTACACTTTGTAATTAGGAAGTACGATCTCTGGCTCATTATAGAAACAGCAAATGTGCCTTTAGTTTTTCCATGGAGATATGTTCTTTCAGATAAGAGCCAGAAATTTTAGTTGCTTATTGCAAAATTTTAGTCCAATTGAGAGAGGTCATAGAGGCAAAATTCTCAATTCTAAATGCCAAAAAACTTTGGATCTCTCTTATCACTACCTTCCTTTTGTATACGTTAAATGAGTGTGCTTTCTGGAGAAATTGCTCTGTTTAGACATTAAGGCACTCCAATTGTCGACCTACAGAGCTGAACATTTTCCATTTCCGTGAGTGGGAATAAATGAGTTTTGATAATCTTAGAATACTGTCCTTGTCGCTCAGACGCATTTTACGACGAGCTAATCCCAACATTTCACTGATGCGAATAATTTTGCGGCCCATTGGGCCCATAGATAGCTATGCTGGAAACTGAAAATTCAATGCTGCCAAATGTTGCTGGGGAATTTGCCAATTTTATAATCAAATTGACGGAGTGAACGGATTGAACAATGAAATCACTCACTTAGGGTTCTTATTTAAATTTTGACTTCGATTGAAACTTGCATTTGCATATGTTCTCCCAAATGTATTGTATCTTAGCGGGTACTGCCTTGTCTTCAAAAAATGACGGGATTTATTTGATTCCTTTATACGCGGCGTTGTTGTTAGCTGCGGCGCGACAGATTTTTGTCACCGGTCGAAAACGCCTTCAGTTTCTCGCGATACTTTACTGCTTACGTCTGAGTTAAAATATTTATAAATTAAATTGCCGTGTCCAATCCTCCGATTTTCGAACATTCATGAAGTATATTGTCACGCATTTAGTAAATTTGTTTATGGAGTCTGTTAACATTATTATTGACTTGACGTGTTCGTCTAATCTTACTGGACACACGTGGGCTGTCCTGGGTTTAAACCTCCCTTCTCTTAAAACTCAAAATTTCACAATGTGTACGTAGTTTTTTGCGAATTACTTGCAAATCAGCGTATCTGTTCTATTCAACGTGAAAATTTGACACGTAAAATGTAATGTGGTGCTTAATAGGACTACATTTTGCAATGCGGAACTTCGATTTCTGGCTCATTTTAGGTCTTTGCGACAAATATGTGCCTCTGTGAATAAGCCTGGAAGAGTTGTTCCTTTTTGGAAATGCAGTCCACTTTTAAACCCCAGTCAGCGGTCTACACCGGAGAAAAACCTCTGTTATACAAACTGATAGGAGTATAGGAACTTTTTGGTGGCTGATCAAACGGTCCGAAGAATATCTGCCTAGACATGTGATCAAATGTCTAATCTGACCAATTTTCTGCGACATATCCAATGTATATCAGCGTTTTTTCCCCGCCACATTAAAAAAAATGTGCTTTTTTAGCACCTAGAATGTCAAAAATGTGTCTGGTTATCCGAAGTTGTTGTCTTTACTGCCTTTGCAGTTAACTTTACATCCTGTGAATGCAAATTTAACTGTGTAGGCAGTATCTTGGGATCACCAGACACATTTTTAACATCCTAGGTGCTAAAACAGCATATTATTTTTTCCGTGATCCATTTTTTCCAGTGGCGTGGCGTGTTCTCCGATGTATCATCGCAAAGCACGCGATGTCATTCAAACCAATGGAAAAGAATCGATAAATAGAGGTTCGCAAAAAAACTTAATAATCGATTTTTTCCATTTTCAAATGGGGAAATGGTTGATCATTTGACAGTTGATCATTTGAATAGTTGACAGTTGATCATTCACGCTTCTCCACTGATTCTTTCTGATTAATTTCGCGACTAAAACTTGCATTTTGGGTTTCAGATGGACAACGCAGGTTACGAGAAAGGGAACGACCAAGGTTGGACAACAGTCGAACTAACGGAAGTGAGGACGCAATCGCACTGCCACAAGGCGGTTGCACCCGAGGCGGACTACCCCTTGCAGAGCGAGGCCAACAGCAATGGGGCCAACCCCCCTTGCGTCAGCAAACAGTGCACCCCCATGAGGCCCAGCCCCTGGCATCCCCTGAAAACAATTTTCCTCGTCGTTCTTCTGGCTCTCTTCCTAGTTTGGGTTATTGTCTCGTATTTCCTTCACAGGAATTATGAACTTTGAAATTCCTCCTTCCTTGCAGATGTTCATCATAATGCTGACTTGTCGTGGAGGAACGTCGTATATGTGTCGCAGGCAATTTGCAAGCAGTTCAACCGTTGTTGCCATAAATTGCAATAATGCGCATCGGCATGATGCAATTCTTAAGGGATATGGCCTTCAAAAGTATGAGCTCGGCTTGAAGCGCCTTCATTTTTTGTGATACTCTACGCTTTGTCACGATGTTAGTTTAGTTGCCTCTCCGATCTCAATCCAACTAATGTCACGGAGTTCACTGCACGCTCTTCTGAGTGTGCACATTTCTGCCATGTTTTTAAGGATGGAAAAGTGTCTATCCACATTATAGGCAACATAATCAGCACTCTAATCTTGTTCTTTTATTTTTGAATTTTATGATTTTCTATATTTATTCACCACTGGCTTGTAACTTGCCGACGATTGCCAATTGTCTATGACATATGTATATGAGGCGGGAGGCCTTATCTGTAACAATGGCGGATGTAAAAAATTACCTTTTCGAAACACGCTTAAAAAACTGTTTTGGTCACACAAAAATGTAATATGTTTGCCTCTGGAGTAATGTACAGATCTCGAAGATCACATCACAAGTATTTTCTCAAGATTTTCTCAATGCCGAAACAGTTTTTTGAGCGTGTTTCAAAAAGGTAATTTTTCACATCCGCCATTGTTACATGTAAATCCTCATACGTCGAAGGCAATTAGTCAAATCAGGCATTTTATCAAATGCCTTGGCCGGTAGTTAAATTTTAAAAGTTCACGAAATTCTGTTTTGTGGTGCGGAATTTACGAGTTTTCAATATTTTGGGGAAAAATAACTCTTCGAATCCTCGAACTCTCCTTGCTCCTTCCTTTTTACATGCTTTAAGCACATGTAAATGTTAGAATTTTAAAAATTCCATGTTTTATGACGTGCTGAAAATTTCATATGAAATGTGCATTTAGGATCTTAAAAGCGTTTAAAATACTATTGGATGATGCATATTTTTTCAGAGAATTCTTTCTTAATGGAGCAACGTTATTTTGTCTAAAATTATGGTAGGAAATCAATTGCCCAGACATTTGACAAAATGTCTGATTTGACTATGTGCCGTTGACATATATGAATGTTGTCAAATTTTCCTAACAAAATTTTAATTTTTGAGGAAACTTATGCATATTTTTCTTCGGAATTTTCAGATATCTTAGGTTTAATTGCTGTCTAAGCTAGAAACTTCAAGGGTTTTTCAAACCCACCGAAACTATTGATTTTTTAGTCGTGGGTATTGTGACTAAAAATACATGTATCTTTAAGATGTAAAGCATTTAATTTGCCGATTTTATGTCATTATGTTATGTATATAATATTGCTGATGGAGAAATAATTTTATAATGTCCGAAAAGGTGAAAAATGTTTTTGAGCAGTGTAAGGTTTTGCAAGTTCTTGGTCAAGATTTTTATTTTCAGTGCATTTAAAAAGTCGTGCAACGAATCAGATATTTCACCTTTCTTATGTCATTCCTGAATCAAAATCATCATTATTTCACTGATGGTTCATAATAAGAAGTTGAAAATGTTCAAATGAATATCAATTCGGAACGGGGGCAAGGTCAGATAATCCAGTGTAGCAAGTGTGGTTTTTTTTGCATATTCCGCTGATCAAAATGAACGCATTGACTACGTCTCCAGGTATGTGATGGATTTTCTAACTTAAAAATTTGGCTGCAATTTATTGGAAGCGTCCTTTAAGTTCCCAAACCAATAGTTGTGCAATTTTTGTCATCAAGCGCTGTACAATTTGAGTAAATAGATTTCAGCCGATCAACTTATCCACCCGAAAAATAACACCGTTTATGTTATAGTTTGTAAGATATATGTAAATACATTTTTAGAGAAACGCTCATTTTATTATAATTATATATATTCACCATGCCGGAGAAACGACTCACCGGGGTGGAAAACGGAGCCCAGTGTCACCCAGCAAGAATGCGATAGTGGTGAAATGTGTTACTTTCTACATTAATGAAGCCTTTATGTTTCTGACAGAACAGAACAGTACATTTAAAGCAGACTTCTGCGGTCGGGGGCGAGCGCAAAACCGCACTGCAGGTTTGCATAGCTCGAAAGCAGCATTTTGTTAGAAACCGTGCATTATCTCCGTTTTAATGTGGAAGATTTGTTGATGTAGCTGGATTAAATTTTAGTTCCGGATCATGAAACTCTTGGAATTTTTTCCACCAGCTCGCTTCTGTGATACCCACCATAAGGAAGGTAAATTCCTTTTCATATTGATGGCTAATGTATCGTACGAATATGAATTCAAGTCCAACCAATTTATGATCTGGAATGAACCGTAAATGGATCGCATTAAGTAGAAAGGAACTAAGCCACATCAACTATTGCCAAATTTGACTGGGCGATTTGAGTTTTTACAAGAGAACATTTTTGCGGACTCCTTGGAAAATGTTATGAAATTTGCTGAGTGCTATGCAGAGAATTTCCTGGTATTCCCACTAAAATCCTTACAAGTTCAGCGAACATTGTATTACACAATGTCTAAAAGGTAGTAGCTCTGAATATATTGGTATGTAGGGTGTAGCCAAGTGCTAGAAATAATGTAAAAATTTTATAAATTTATGTTAAATTATTATATTAAATTAAACTTACGTTGTCTTTTTTTTATAAAATTGTTACATTATTTCTAGCACTTGGCTACACCCTACATACCAATAACATCCTTACTACCGGTTTTTTGTAAAAATTAGACGGTCCAATTGAATTTTGCGATGATGTGGCTTGGTTCCTTTCTAAACTGTCCAAATGTACCTATCGCAACAACAGTCCAACAATCAGCTGATTTGCAATTTGTATAAAAACGTTAGTGTCTTATATTTTCTCCGGAATTTATTTTAGTAAATACTGAATGTGACTTTTAGTCATGTTCTTGAATTTTTCTTTCATTTCGTAAAACACTGGTCCGCTTTACATATAAGAAACCTACCAGGTTATTTTTTGTGATATCAAACTTTTGTAAAATAATCGGAATTTAAAATATTTGGAAATAAACGATATAACTTGATTACTACAGATATTTGTCGAATTATGCAAGCACTTCATATCCCTTTCCTCACGCACGAGCCACAATTGGACTACATTTTGCAATTCGGAACTAATTTCTAGCTTATCTGTAAAAACACGTATATGCATAAGGAAACTGATGGTACATACGTTGTATCTAAACTGAGCCAGAAATTATAGTTCCTAATTGCAAAATGTAGTCCAATTTATTCTTTCTTTCAGAGGTCAACCTCGCGTTGGGTTTTGGTTCAGTATTTTTGGCAACTGGCGTTTACGCGGATCCAACCATAAGCCTGGTTACATTTCGGCTTTTTTCAAGATGACACTAAATTCACAGAGGGGAACTAACTCGAACTGGATCCATTATAAAAATTTTGTTTTCAGCTAAGCGAAGACGCGGTTCCGACCCAAAATTTATAAATATCTTTCTTCCAATTTGTCACGTAATTTTGTTCGCAATTTTACCTAAAGTTCCTGAAAATGTCAAGGCAAAATATTTACCACTTTACTCAAAAATACACATTTTATGGAAGGAAATTTGGCATACTCTCGAATGTTCATAGGACGTTTGTTCGTAGGACGGGAGCTTACGTCAGGGGGTCGACAAAATGATAGCTCGACGCTCCTCGGGATCGGAGCTGCTCGGCTCCTTTGTTTATGAGTGTTTCACGGGGGATGAGCAAAAGTAATTATAATTGAAATTAAAATTCAGTGCCTTGCGTCAAATTGGACTCGTTACGGAAGAGATGTTGATTGCACCGGAGCGGCCAACGTGTCATTCCTCGGTGCCAGCGTAGCATCTTCCCGGCTTCCCCACAACATGCTCCGCGGTGCATCCCTTAAACCGCCCCCACCCCCACCCCCGCTCGCGAAACGAAGCTCCGCGCTTCATTCCTCATAAAAAATTGGTTTCGAACCGGATAGAGCATCCGACTCGCCCGGCAGTTGCGATCATACCTGAGTTAATCGTTTGTTTCGAAAAAGGAGAAACTCGGAAAAACTCTGCACTGAAAAAAAAGTGAAGTTGATTTAACATTCTGGATGTAAAGAAAGTGTACAAGAACTTAAAAAATGATTAATTGACTGATAGAGCAGTTCCTTTAGTAATGTCAAGATGTAAAACTAACTGCCGTAGCGGGTAATTTAGCATTTTGTGAGTTCTCGCACACTGTTTTTACATCCAAAATGTTAAATCAATTTCACTTTTTTTCGGTGTGCTATCCACGATTTTGAAAGGAAACCAGTAGGTTGTATTCATGGTCGTTTCTCTAACGGTTCCTTTTTCAGGAGGCTCAATATTTTTTACATTGTGATTAAGAGGTGTTGCAGAGCACCACAGAGCAAGGTAAAATCTGCCTTTTATCGTCGCTCGTCTGACGTAAGGGTTTATCTCGATTTCCACATGAGTCATGTGACATGACCCCTAAAAAACATGGATTTAAATGTAAAAAAAGGCTCACATGTTAATTGAGATACGTCCTCACGTCGCACAGTGAATCGAGTCAATTAGAGAGTTTGGACATAAAATTTTCCGGAACTTCCGGTTTCTGAGCCAAGAACGGACGAAAATCTAGATAGCCCGTGACTTTTTTTTCAGTGCAGGGTTATGGAAACGGAGGATTCAACAATAAATGGAATGGAAAGCTCGCCGGAGAATTTGGATCTGTGTCCCTGGGCGCAGCCTTAAGAGCCCAACTACGTTGGCTAAGTACAGCGCTTTCCTGAAATTAGAGGGAGGCGCGGGCGGCGCCATTAAAGCGAATCATAACATCATGCCTGTCATTAATTATAAGTCCGGGAATCAACACCGGAGAAGAGCGAAAGTAGGCGAACTTATTCCAACTTGTGTACTTGTGTGTGAGCAGGAGCGATCAAAGTTGAAACTCTTCCCGCGCCAAGCTGTCTCCTACAAAGACTTATCAATCTTCAGCCCAGACTAATGCTACCTGGTGCATGCGAAACTTGTCTAAAGCAGGCTACGTCGCGTGTTAACCCCCCGCCCTCCCACGCCTCCCCCTCCCCCTCCTCCGCCGTCCCCCCGCCGCACGAGGGCTAACCTCAAAGCGCACCTGATTTATCTTCCCCCCTGGCGGTCTCCGACTGCTTTTTTTTGTGCCGATTCCAATTTTCCCCCGGTTTTAAATTCAGTTTTTTCTCGCCCCTATTTTTTAGAGCGTTCCATTCTTTCGAGATAAATATCGGAAGTTTGGAAGGAGATCCAACTTCCGAGAACGGGGTCGTTTCTCCGGGAACTAATGATTCGAAAACCTCAAAATCCGCCCGGCGAATTTTTTCTTCCCACCTTTTATTTTTTTTATCGTTTGGATAGTGTCAAACAGCTCAGCTATATTCGTCGTTTCGAGGATGGAAGAACGTAATTACGGTCTTATTGATGTTGTGAAATTTCTATTCAAAATTGAGGCACTGGATCCGAAAAGGGCACTACTCGATTGCAGTGTTTCAGAATCTCTGTTGCTAATTAATCCCTTGGAGACGACTTTAATGGGTGGTTTTTCCAGAATTCTTTCCATAGAAAATTTTAGAATCGTAAGGAATATTCAGTAAAATTTTTAGTAAAATGGATGCATTCACTTTTCTGACCATGAATGAAATATTAAAGGAGACTCTGAAACACTGCGACCGAGAAGGGCCCTTTTTGCATCCAAAGCCTCAACTGCTTTCTTTGGGCGGCACCCGATTCCCTCCCGAGATTCCCTCCCGGATACGATTCCCTCCCGGATCCGATTCCCTCCCGCTAATGACCGCTGCCCAAGTCCGTTTCCGATTCCCTCCCGCTAATAACCTTTAATCAAATGAAGCGGCAACGTCGCATTAATCATTCAACTTACCGTTTCCAGAGAGATCAATGTAAATATTGCCGTTCCCCGAGAGAAAGAACGTAACTTACGGTTGGGAAACGATTCAGAATATTTTTTTTCAGATAGGAATAGGACTGCAGTTTTTGCCAAATACATACATTAAGCCGCTTTTATAGCGCAGCCTCGCGCTCTGCGACGCCCAATCGCCATTGCCCCCCCATCTTCCCAGAGACCATCAGGCAATTGGCACCTTCTGATCTCCTCCTCCATCCCTTGTCGTTAACCTTTCACAGGACGTCCACGCCGTCGCCTTCCGGGAGGAACCCAATCGAAAACCTGCTTGGGCAACCGATCGTCTGCCAATTCTGCCATCCTTCGCACATATCCATACCAGACCATTTTTGCCAAATTTTGCATGTAATCATGCAGAGGGAAAATCAGTGGAATCTTCAATCACAGACTTTTGGCAGTTCCGTAACGAAAGTGGCGGCACCCGATTCCCTCCCGAGATTCCCTCTCGGATCCAATTGTCTCCCGCTAATGACCGCTGCCCAAGTCCGTTTCCGATTCCCTCCCGCTAATGACCTTTAATAAAATGAAGCGGCAACGTCGCATTAATCATTCAACTCACCATTTCCAGAGAGATGCGCTGTTTCCCGTGAGTATTTCAGGAAAATTAGGGTATATTCACAAAATTATGATGATTTGATGAAGAAAGTGGGCTAGGTTCATAGAAAGTTCCCAAAGTCTGTTTCATATGTATGTGTTCATATGCATGTTGTATGTAGTTTTTTCTGTGAACATCCGGCAGCCATGAACATGACTTACTACTGTGATTTCATTTTTTGTGTGACGCATCGGGCTCTCCACACCCCATTTAGTTTTTCTGTGAACATCCGGCAGCCATGAAGAGGGTTATAGAAGGGGGGGAGGGCTCTCAAATTTTGTTTTATGCATACATATAAAATAGACTTTGGGAACTTTCTATTGACCTAGCCCACATTCTTCATCAAATCATCATAATTTTGTGAATATACCCTAATTTTCCTGAAACACTCACGGGAAACAGCGCATCTCTCTGGAAATGGTAAGTTGAATGGAACTTTCTTTACGAAACTGCCAAAAGTCTGTGATTGAAGATTTCACTGATTTTCCCTCTGATTACATGCAAAATTTGGCAAAAATGGTCTGGTATGGATATGTGCGAAGGATGGCAGAATTGGCAGACGATCGGTTGCCCAAGCAGGTTTTCGATTGGGTTTCTCCCGGAAGGCGACGGCGTGGACGTCCTGTGAAAGGTTAACGACAAAGGATGGAGGAGGAGATCAGAAGGTGCCAATTGCCTGATGGTCTCTGGGAAGATAGGGGGCAATGGCGATTGGGCGTCGCAGAGCGCGAGGCTGCGCTATAAAAGCGGCTTAATGTATGTATTTGGCAAAAACTGCAGTCCTATTCCTATCTGAAAAAAAATATTCCGAATCGTTTTCCAACCGTGTGTTACGTTCTTTCTCTCGGGGAACGGCAATATTTACATTGATCTTATTAAATAGTTGCATCCAGTCCCCGTCATCGCCGACCAACGCGTTTGTCGATCGAATCAACTACAGGTATTATGCGTAGGAGAGCAAAACGCCTTCAAGTTTTTGAACGCAATACGGACATCCGTCGAGGTTGTATAGTTGTATCAAGGCGCCTTAGCAAGCGCGTCCCATTGTTTATCGTTACAGACGAATAAAAGTTGAGAGAGGCCAGTCGTAATGCCTTCAATTTTATACATACATATTTTCGGGCAAAATGAGGTACGACGTTTCTCCATTTGCGACGTTGCGGACTTCCTTAGAAATTTTATTTTTCTTTCGAGAAACTGGTCAACCTAAAACTTAAATTCTCCATGATTTTTCGTATTCGATAGCAGAAGATTTGGTTCAGAATTTAAAGTCGTAAATTTGGATTGTTTCTCATGGAAGAGATGGATTAAGAACGGAAATTTTGAAACACTGCAATGGAGATACGTGGTTTCGCACTTCAGTCGGACCGATACGGACATCCAACAAGCTTAAAGAGCGTCTCTATTCAGAGGACGAACTTTGCATGATTGTAACCGTATGGAAACTGGGTTTGGGGTTGCTCTATGCAGTAAACCCTGGTAAATAAGCTGTATTTTGCAATATGGAGCTAATATTCATAGCTTACTCAAAAAAATAAGAAAATTAAAACTGGATGTTGCGTGGGTGAAGTTTCCAGAGCATAGTATACTTTATTTACCAAGAATAAAGAAACAACTAAAAACGGGACTAAGGCCGCAAATAATAAAAAGAAACACATAAAATAAAATAAAAAAACAGGGAAAAATGCGGGTGTGATCCCTGTGAAACGTCCCGGGTTTTTTATTTTATGTTTTGTGTTTCTTTTTATATTTGCTGCCTTAGTCCCGTTTTAAGTTGTTTCTTTGTTAGTGTCTCGGGCGGATTAAGTTGTTTTTTTAAGCAAGAATGCGGTGAACACCAAAATATGTACTTACTTTTGTAGCTTTTTTTTCTGAAATTTTAGGAAATAGCCATTCGAGAGTTTATTAACTCGATTACTATTAGGATTAAATGCTTGTCATAGCTTGTCATCGGCTCGACAAAGCTTCTTTCAATATTGTTTGTTTATGTCAGACGAGGTGTAGTAGAAAAACGTGTAATGATGGTTGCAGTCAAAGCGTTTGAAGGCATTTTCTAGCGCATATGTGTTGTGAGGGCTGAGTAAGAAAAAAAGAATAATTTTATTTATACTTTTGTCTGTTTTTGTTTGTTTTTTCTTTCTGAGCAACTATTGGTTATAACAACTCCGACGTCAAGAAATCACCCCCTTGCTCCCTCTCCTATTTCCGGTTTCGGCGGAGTCTGCACTTTTGCCGAAAACGAACTTTGCACTGCGACCCTCTTCTGGTGCCAAATTACTACTTACTGCTAAATTACTTTCTGGTTGTTTTCGCCCGACGGCACGGAATAGCGCCAGTGGCGTGGCGTGAATTGCGATATATCGATTGTTGTGCCATTTAAACCTATGAAAAAAGATCGATTATCAGGGTGTTCGCAGCGAACACCTTAGTAATCGATTCTTTACCATAGCTTCAAATGGCGAGATATCGATAATCGATTATTCATGCCACTCCACTGAATAGCGCGGGTGTGCCGCCGCTCGTAAATTCCCTCATTTCGCCTCATCACGTCGGACACAAACAAGCGACCCGCAGAGAACCGCTGACGTCACAATATTCCTCTGAAATATCACCCATCAGCGCTCCTCCTCGCGCAATGACGTCAAAGGAGTTCCATTATCTGAGGCTGCCTGGATAAACCGAACCGCCGGACGGGGTAAGAAATCAAACGGCACGATTCAAAATATCGATGGCCAAACTGCAAAACCACCTATCTCCTTTGCGATGTTTCAGATTTCCGCTCTCACTTGATTTTTCCCAAGAAAAACAAGCCAACTTTATAGCCTGTTTATACAGGATATTATGCCGACGGAGATGACGGAATGATATTAATTTCAACAAGTATTATGAAGAAGCAACTTTTTTAATTACTTAAATAATCTTTTGAACTGTAAAACCTATCAAAATCATGTATATGTGTAACTTTGCCATCTAGTTAAAAATTTGCAGTGAACTTCGCAGGTAGCGTGAGCAACACATAGACTGGAATAGGAGGGTCTTAATCTGGTCTGTTCTTTAAAAAAAAAAAAAAAAGTTCTCCTGGACAGACGCGATACCACTTGCTACAAAAGCAGAGTATTGCGAGTGTACGCCTCGCGCCATCGCGCCTTCAATTTTTCAGACGCAACACGTACATCCTTCATGTACAAATAGTTGTATCTTTGCGCCGTTATCCACGCGCTTCCTTTTCCTTGCTTCGTTTCCAGGTTGTCTTTGTTTGTTTCCGTTGCTTTAATCTGAGAGACTATTGTCCTCAAAAAAATTCTGATACTAAGTTGTTTCATCCAACTCTTGCGCACTTTGCGGAGGATGATACACAATATTCAACATGGCCGAAGTTTCCGCGCGCAAATTGTGAGGAGGCACCATGGTCTTTATCAACGCAAAGGATTTGTAAAAACATACACGCCGGTTCATAAAATCCCGTTTCGTCACATGTGTTTTGGCGTTGGCGTCGGCCATGTTGAATATTACGAAGCATCCTAATGCGGAAGGGTTGGATTGGGCAACTCTTAACCGAACGAAATTTTCACCTGGGCCGTAGTATCGTTTTTGAAGCGGGGAGCTTAAAAAACGCATATTCCTCTCGCAGATTGTGAAGTCAGAAGTGTATTCCGACTTCACCGATGCGGCCATCGTACTTTTGAGCCATTTAATATGGACCGAGTTTCAGGGATAGTAACCAACTCACATAAAGTTGAAACTGAAAAAAAAAAGAGTTTTGAAGTTTTATTTTTCTATTAGGCTCAATGTAGAAAATAAACCTCAACCTTTCTTAACACAAGCTAATCGATTTCGAGTTTTTGGCATGGGAATATATACGAGTAGCGGAACTCAAAAACATTCTAAACTCAATTTTTTCGAAAATGTGAGTTGGTTCCTTTCCGGTAAGTTCGGTCCATATTATAAACAACTCTTCTTCCCCGCTAGCTGAAGTTTGCAGTAGGCCCATCAAAGCAGGCTCAAAAAAGTATCATAAACAAGATAATTTTCTCGAACCTCGAATAAAATTCAGCCGTATGACTTTCTAAATGGGTCCTAGAAGTGGTTGTCACCAAATACGGAGGAAATAATTATAAAATTTTGACTAATTTCAAATTAAGTGCGAACCTATATATAGCCTATACAGAACTCAATTTTTTTATTTTCTGTGGTGGTTAATTGTTGACTTTTTTAAGGGTTTATTCCCAGTGCCATACTTCTGAATTTTACTCGAAGTTTGCAAAAATTGTCCTTTTCACAAAATCCTCACGAATTGTCCTTAATTACAATGAAAATCAAAGGGGTCTCCTAAGAAATGGAGCTGTATGAGGAGCAACTATGAATACGACCTACAGACGCCTCTGAAACAGATCCTCTCTTGAGGACGGTCTAGATAAGTATAGTCATATGGTTTACAATGTATTCAATTCTGCAAAAGCGTTGTCTGAATTTCAGTTCCAAAATGCTGCAAGAGTTGGTTCTCACTATCACTAGATCATAGAAGGAGGGGTCTCAATCAGTGGCGCGGTGTGCTTTTCGATCTATCGATTTCTCCTTATTTGAAGCTGTGGTAAATAATCGATCATTAAGGTGCGAACATCCTGTTTATCGATACTTTTCCATAGGTTTAAATGCCAGATTAATCGATACATCGCAAAGCACGCCACACCACTGGTCTGAAGTAGATCAGCACGAAAAAGTTTAAGTGATCCTGCTCTTTTATTCCCCCATGTGCTGGTTGAATACCTTCACCTTCTATATATTGAATCCATTCATTCTAAAAGGGCTTAAGTTCAAAAACCCATGAGCCCTGGCGTTTTGCGTAATCAAAGAAAGCCAGGTCTCATGATTTTTTGGACTTACGCCCTTCAGCATGATTCGATTCAACTATTATGAATTTTGAAATTACGTATTAAGGGCTAATTTTTATTTGTCTTTACTATATTAAGACACATTAGAACTAATGAGTGAACGTAATGAAACACAAAGAATGAAGTAACTTGTAATTTATTGTACAAAAAATTTTACAGAAAAAGATTTTTACAAATGAGTGAATGTACACAATGATGTTTTAGGCTGGTAACAAAAGTGAGCGAAATTTTCAAGCTTGGGAGCTTGGAGAAAAATGTAGTATTTGAACCAATGAGTATTTATCCATTACTCACAATCAGGACCATTATTGGATTCTAAGTGATAGATTCATAAAAAAAAAAGAAATAGAATTTCAGGCTGCGTGAAAGAGTTTCCAAACACCAAAATTGCGAATGAAACTACAGACATTTCAAAAACTTGTTTGATGAGCAGGACTTAGCTCAAATAAAGCCAGTTTGATCAAATGCTGTGGTTTGACAAATTGTCCAAACCACAGCAGAATGTTCGATCACCTGAATCGGGCCTTAGAACTATCGTCAAATAGTATATGCTCGCATGGGAATGAGGCAGTTCTTTCGCATTATTTCAACACCAGGGAGACAATATAAAATTCATCGTGGGCTCCTATAGTAGGGGAAAAAATTGGTCAATTATATCAATTATTCCGTTCAAAATTAGCATAGATGTTACCAAAAAGTACAAAACTATTCTCAGATTATTCAGTCGGAATACTTTTAACCACTTGATTTACTAAATCGGGATGTTTACATTGAGATGATTGGATGCAAATGATTTCGGATTGTAAACAATTTTAGTGATTCTCACCAATGAGAAGATTAGTACAAAGAGAATTATCGCAGTCTTGAAACAATCTACCATAATTGGTAGCCACAACTGGTAGCCATAATTAGGCTCGTATAATTGACCAAAAACTTCAGGTTTTTAGGTCAAAATGTGTATTGCGCCATTCGAACTGAATTTGTTTGTCTTACTGGTTTTCCTCGATTCTATTCTAGCCTGCTTTGAAACAGCGCAGAATATGTGGGACATGTTTATCGTATGCCATTTATAATTTTAATCTGCACGTTGGACAGGCCAGGACTATGCAAAAATAATAGAATGAAGCCAAAAGATGAACGTGGAAGACCGATGTTAACATAGAGACCAGTCCTAACGGAGACGGGATGAGGTTATCAAGCCAATTTAAATATCAATTTCATCGACCGAAAACTTATTTTTCATGGACGCAATGCTCCTTTTGGGCAAGATAGTGTTCCTCTGATGCGTTAAACTGTCATAAGGTAAAAAAAAAAACTACCATGTTGCGCTGCTAAAATGTGGCTCCGAAATCAGAGATTTTTAAAAACGCAATATTTATGCTACACTTTAAGACTCATCAGGTCCAGCAGCATGTGTCTAGAATTTTTTTTTTTTTTTTTAAAAAACGAGCTTTCAAAGTTTTGTAATAATAGCTAGAGCTAGATTATATGAAGAAGTATGTGCTAGCTAAGGCTTTTGACTCTTCAAATTTAACTGCTCTTCCTTTAATATACATAATAACTCAAAGACTCAAGTTCAGCGGTACGGACTCGTCAACAAAAAAATCAAATTACAACGGTGGCGCTTCCGGCGCGGAAACATTTCTCGCCACAGAAGATTCATCTTTGAAAAACGGTATTTTTCCGAATGATTTTACCATGGACCCTGCTAGCACAAGTCGGATTGAAAATGTTTTTAAAATGTGTCATTGATCTGAAAATATATCTTTGAAACATTCCAATGAAACATCTTGAAAACATATCATACGTCCAAGCAGTTTTGAAAAGGTCTCTAAAACAACTCTATGTCACCCCTAAATTTTCTTTCACAGAAACGTCCGATAGATGTTTCCCATGCCATTCCAACACATTTCAGTGAGGTATCAGCCCCATATATTCGTCGCAGAAACATTCCGGAAACATGTCGGTGAGAGGCATGACCTTGATAATCCTGAGTCATGGTTCAACTGAATGAAATTAGCCTAAAAAAGATCATTAAAATATACTATGGCAATGTACAAGAATTTGGATAGGAAGGGTCGTCGGGCGACAGTTATATACAACTTTCTTGGAGTCTGTGCGTGGCCGTCACGACTTCGGGGCCCAGCTTCTGACTGCTCGAGGATCGAAACGATCCCACGTTCGAGATGTCCCCAGGACTCACCGGACTTCCTAATCGATTCAATTTCGAGCTAGAATTACTATTAAATACCTGCAACACACAGTAAGAAAGTTTTCCATCAAAGCTTTGCCCAAAAGTGAGGGAGGACACATTTAATGCCAAATATGGCTGGCTAAGCTATTAAAGTCATGGTAAATGATGTATCGAACAGCTAAAAGCCAAAAAATAAAATGAAATTACCCACATGGTGTTAACAGAAGAAGCAAAATATGAAAATACAACTCACGAACACGGGTCGAAACGTTTACGTTGCGTAAAGGAATGTTTTTGTGAGTTGTATTTTCATCTTTTGCTTTTTGTGTTAACATATTGTAGGTCGATGTATAAACTGAATTATTAGTTTATAAATCCGGGCACAAAATATATGATTTTCAATTTTGCCATCGCACACTCATGCTCTGTGACTGTCATAATAATGTTAAAAATGGCAATACCGGACGGTTTTGTGGAAGAAGGGTGCATCCAACAACATTTTAAATAATAATCAATTCTGGTTCCATTCCTTCAACCAATGGTGTATTAGATCATCGCTCAATTTCTTCAAACAGGAACATAAATCATCGTAGATTTTTTTTGATTTTTTTTAAAACAAATCTATTATGTTTCTTCGAGACTTGACCCGAGGCGGTTGCACCGTTCATCAAATAACCCATTCAATCGCAAGTAATGTTGCCAGGAAAGAGGACTCTTGAGGTGATAGAAAATTGAGAAGAAAGCTACTTTAAAAAAAGGAAATAATTGATGATCACAGTAAAAATGAAAAATACTTACATAATTTGTAAATTGATTAGACTTCGATGTGACGATCACCGAATGACTAAAATTTGAGTAATTTTCATCTACGGCTTTGGTTTGCTCCACGCATTCCTGGTCTTTTTTCTTTCGCTTCTGCGGCGGTGTTTTGTAAATTTTCATGAAGCTTTTCAAAGGCCTTTTTTCTGAAATTAAACAGACGGTTTCATATCAAATTGATTGCTGAAAGCAAAAATGCTATTAATAAAATATTCAAAATGCCAAAATCCGTAGGGATTGATCCGCCTGAATCTCGGGTGCACTTGGAAATAAATAATTTTCTGGGTCTCTGAGCCAGAGTCAGATGACAGCCCTAAGCCAATATTAAAGTTGGTTGTTTAAAATACGAACGGTAATATCTTCGTTAGTAGTTACTTTCAGTAATTTTCGTTGTGCAAATCGTACGCTCTGTGAAAATTTGATGAGGAAACATACATAATAATTCTTAAACTTGCACCTTGTTTCCTCGTCAATTAGTAACGCCGTTAAAAACGCCTTCAATATTTTGTGTATGCAACATGGACCGTTGTTAGGTACGTTTAGTTGCATCTAAGCGCCGTGATCAACGTCGTGTCTGTTAAGGACGACACTGATACTACCATCCAAAGTAAAAACGTGGCATCTCCACTCAACATTTTTTGAGCGTGGTTCTGACAAAATACTGTTTCACACGAAAACTAACAAACATTCATCCTTCGATTTTTTGCGATCACTCTCGTACACCGTTAGGAACTTAAACTGAAATATGAAGCATTGTGCCAATTTGATTCTCTTGTATTAGAGCAGTAATTATGAAATAATAAAACACAACTTGGAATGGAGTTACGGGGTTTTTGCTATGAATGCCTATGGATAAGCGATACTTTCAGGATTTTTCCTTATAAAAATTGTGTTCTTTGTGAAATTTTGATGAAAAAACGTGTATGATAATGCATGAATAAAGAATTTGCAGGTGTTGGAAATAATGTAAATTTCATGGTTAAAATAAAAGAGTTTATCCTTGATTTCTAAATTCAACAATTATTGGAGGAAATATGACAAAATAACCAAATTTGCTAAGATACATGTGTTTAAATGGGAAATGCCGCCAGATGACGTCACAAGGCAGCGCATTTTCTCGCTTTTAAATCTATTTTCTACAATTTCCCATTCCAGAAAAAAAATATGTAAAATAATGCGAACTTAGCTCATTAAAGACTCTCAGATAAAGCATTATACAATTTTTGTACGCAAATTCTCCATTCCCGATTTTGACTAATAGTCTGTTCGATCTTCGGAGCCCGCTCGACAGGAAAGTCTCCTCGCGGATGGAGCTGGGAAATCGAAGGAAATGGGGAAATTCTGCAACGTGGCGACGACGATCGGCGGAGCTTTGACCAAGGACGTGAGACGTGGGCTTGACACGTCATCAATAATTCGCAGCATGCTGGCACTCACGGTCTTCGTCTCCGTCTCGGTACACCCATCAAATTTTAGTTGACAGAGTAATTATTTTTTCCCGTTCCACCCTGGTCCACCTGATCAGCCGCCCCCCCCCCCCCCNCACCCCTCCCCGCAACCCCCTTTCTCTGCTCACCCTAAAATAGAGATCAATTTTTTCTACTCGGAATCTCGCACCCGTTTCTAGAACATCAGCTCCCGAGGGCTCATGTGGGATTCTAGGAGTGGTTCTTCACTGGAAAAAAAACACATTGGATCTGGAGTCCGGACTCTTAAAAACATCGACAAGGAAAAATGGACTGAGTTAAGCAGAAAGGAACCAACCCACATTTTGGAAACAATTGAGTTATGAGTGGTTTCAAACTGAACCACTGCTCTACTATCTATCGCCAAAAATTCAAAGTTTTTGTTGGAGCAACTTTTGCAGAAATTGAACTTGAAGTTTATCTTTTACATTGAGTCTTATGCAGGAGCCAAACTTTAAACCTCTTTTTCTCGGTTCGATCCCGATGTGGCTTGGTTCCTTTCTGTTTAACTCTGTCCAAATACTCTTGATTCACTCGGATTTTTGCTTAAATCAAGAACCAAGCCTCTTAATTTGAGCGGATTTCCTTTCGATTTAAGCTTAAATCTGATTGAATCAAGAGTATTTTTTCTTGTAAATGTTTTCAAGAGTCTGGACTCAAGATCAATTTTTTTTCTTCTTTTTTTTCTTTTTTTTCCCAGTGTTGGAGGCGACAATATTTATTGGGCAGGGGTCGTTTAATAAGTGGATACCATTTAGCAAAAAGGAACCAGCACAATTAAACTGTTGTTGAAATGTTGCTTTTTCATAATTATCTAAAAAATCTCCCAAAATAGCAAATGCTTTTTGCATCCCATCAAACAATTCTTAATTTCAAGGGAAAGAATTGTGTAAGTATTAATACTGTACATATACTTGGTACTTTTTAAAGGAAAAGAAGAAGTTGCAGGATTTTGAAAACACTGTAATCACACTGGTTCCTCTTTGCTAAATGCGATCAAATTACCCTTGGAGCCGTTTTTATAAGCACGTCGGCAAAATTTCATTAGAAATAAAATCGTGATTTTTCACATGAAATTTGAGAAAAATATGAGGTATTGAAAGACTCGACGCTAGTTGCAGATTATCAGCTCACTCTAAAGAAGTATCAAATACTTAAAAATGCTTTAACTCGCACTTTGTCTAGTCGTCCATCAGTAACGCGTTTCAAAAACGCCTTCAATATTCTGTATATGCAATATGGACAGTTGTTAGGCACGTTTAGTTGTATCTAAGCGCTGTGGTCAACGTCGTATGTACTCACACGACACAACCCAATCGGAAATTTGACCTTGGGGAGAGCGGAATAATATTGTGGCAACCTTAGCGAGATTGTGAGCATATTTCAACAGTAAGGTTGGCCTGAGGATCTTGGTACAATATGCCATCAATACTGGATATATAACCTTAGTATTTTAATATTGCACCAATATTAGCAACATTAGAAATCCAACGTCAGATGGTGCTCGGTGATTCCAAGATTGTCACAATGTTGTCACAATATTGGTTATACAATATTGGTAAACTAATACTGTCGTAGAGTTATGTTTTCAATATTGCAGTAATATGTTAGTTTTAACATTGGCGCATTATTAAAAAAAATACTGAACATAGGCTTCTGCTTATAATATTGACACAATATT